ACACAGGAGGATGCTGTCGATCTAACTCTCTAGAGATGACAAGGAATTGAAATATAAAAGTTTAACACTCTAAGTTGAAATGTCGTACAGTTACTACCATTGGCACCTGCAGTTCTGAAGGAAAAATTTAAAAAGCCATTACTTACCATACTGTTCCAGCCTGAAGAGCAGCTGCAAATGTCAGTGCTTTATCCATGTCCTTGGTAAAAACTGCAGCTGCTAAGCCATAGGTAGTATTATTTGCCCTCTTGATAACCTCATCTGCAGTTTTAAACTTCATGATTTGTTGAACAGGTCCAAATATCTATTTCAGACACAAGTAAACATATGAAGTGGACTAGTATAGCTTAGTATCATAAATAATTTATATTTAAAAAAATTTATTTCTGTCAGATGGACTTATTTCTGAATTCATTTAGTTAGAAATGTACATCTCAGAACAGAGTTCTAAAAAAGAATATAAATTCACATTAAGATAAGATTTTTGTAATATGGAGCAAATCAAGATAGCCTATTGTAAAATGATTAATAAAACAATAAATAAATAAACTAAATGATAAATTATTAAAACAAATAAACAAAGCTAAAAAGACACCCAGTATAAAAGTAGTTAACCTGAAGTCACAGTATGTTACATATCTCTAATAATTAAACAAGGAACTGGTATTTTCTTGTTAAGCTCCAGTTTTAGAGTTGAGAAAGTTATCTAACTTTTCCTTCCCCTAAACTTTCTATTAGGCTTTTATCTCTGCAGGAATCTGCACAACTAGATAGGTACACCAAGTGAAACAATTAGTTCTGCTTTCCTTAGGGGTGTTATGTGAGATAATACTACCTCAGGCTATCCACCACTGCCCCACCACTGCCATTCTGTATTCTCAGCTAAATGTGTCCATAGTGACAAGGCTGTGTAGGGCAGGGCGCACTACCATATCTGATTACTCCCATTCCCATAGACCATGAACTTTCCACTTGATTTTCCAGGGAAGTATTTGGTACTAGTTTCTTACTAGAGTTTTAAAAATTGATTTATATAGATCAGAAAAATATTGAAGGTTCCCCTACTGTTCAAGCTAATAGTTTCAGGACCTAGATATTACTTAAATTGCCTTGACTCTCTGGGGTTTCACTATTCAATACACCCAAAATAGTGTGAGAGAAGTTCTGGTATTGCTGAGCTGAAAGAAACTAATAGGTCTTGATGAAACAAGACCTATCATGACCTCTGCACAGTTCCTACCTGCCTCCCAGACATGCAGAAACAATCCAAATTATTTCTCTTGTTTTACAGCACCCTCTCCTTCACAATGAACTCTAGATGATCTGATGTTCGTTTTAAGTCATCCTGTTGACTGTTGCTGAATGTACTAGGTAAGTTCAGCAGTCTGGTTCAGCAATATAAAGCAACACCTACATTTGTAAAAATTTGAAGGAGTTTTCTAGTATGAAGAAATATAATGAACACCCATTGCAGCGCAATTGCAGCAGTTGTTAATCAAGGTAAATGTAAAAAGCTGCAGCAAGAGATCATGACTGGACTTTAAGGCTGTGTTTACATAACTGTTTTTCTTAATAGCATAGCAGTTCTGTGCTCCTAACTCTCTCCTATTCCTTGCTGGTGATCACTGCTGCCCTAACACTACCATATTAGTTGTGTCAGTAAAAGATCCTTCATCACTGTGTAGACACTTCTGCAAACTGATATACGTTCAGTAACCCTGTAGGGGCAAAACTCTGCTGTGCTATAGCTGCCACCAATAAAATGCTTGAGAAAGTATAATCTAAACATTTTCTCTTATTGCAAAATAGCTGCTTGGTGCATATTATTTTCAAACATCCTTAAGCAGTGCAAAGAGTTCAAAAGCTGTGCCTTCAAGGTTTGCTTATCTGTAATAGGTTACCATGACTTTGATGTGTGAGACATGGGCAGTATGGGGTGATGTAAACTATCCAAATCTCAGCATTTCTTATCTGTTGAAAGCTTAAACTAGAGCCTTTGTTGGCAGGCCAGCCTCAAAGTTCTCTCCCTCACCTCCACTGAGTTGGTGAAACAAGTATCAGAAACCAAGAAAAGCATTTTAAACACCACCATGATGGAATGACAGATTTACTGAGATAATTTTATGAGGCAACGTGACCTTCTAAATATATATTTTGTACTGACATTTAAACAGGCAGTATCCAGTGAGAGTACAGACTGCCAAGAATTTATTTACCTCCTCTTTGGCGATGCGCATATCATCTGTAACATTAGAAAAAACCGTGGGCTGGATGAAGTAACCTTTGTCTCCCCATCGACCTCCTCCACATTCCAGTTTAGCTCCTTCTTTTTTCCCACTCTCAATTAGCTCCAGGATTTTTTGAAACTGCTCCTTATCAATCTAAATGAAAAGATATTGTAGGGATGAAAACAGCACACACTGATTACAATTCTTCTTCTAACTCATTGACAAAAACCTAACAATGTTCCAGCTTTGCTCAGTTGCGTGTGTTGAAGTGGAACAGCTGGAGAGCCCTGCAAATATTCCTGTTACTAGCTTCTCAAAACTTTGCGGACTTTTCTCAAATAGACCTGTAATCAGAAATTTTGACATAGAAGAATAAGCTGTAGAGGGACTGA